CTGTTTTTGATTCGAAATATCAAAACTACTATATATGTGCCACAGCGAGTTTTATATATTTACTAGGTATGTATGTTTTTAAAGGGATGCCAAATGCTGTCATTTTTCTGTAAAGCAAATTTACCTTGCCTTTGGGTATAAATAAAGTTACCTTGACCTTGACCTTGACCTTGCTGTTGTTCAGCTGCTGGTTTCCTCTTTCTGGCGCGAAGTGGGCGATAAACAAACAAGAGAGATTGACTCGCAACAGAAAAGCTGATCAGCTGATCATTAATCAGTTTCACATAGCAGCAGGAGAGAGAAGAGGCAGTCGCTCCACATATCGGTTGTTAAGCTTAACGTGGGAATTCTTTATAAACATTCAGAGATGAACTTACACACTTGCTTTACTTCTCTCTGGGATCACTTCCTCAGAGATGAAATGCCGGATTGCTAGCAAGGCTACAAATACACACAGCCGCTCTATCACATGACGCATACTGCTCCGAGGTGCTACGGTTATGAGCCGAGTTACGCCATGTCGCAAGTTTTTTGAGGTGCTTTTTTGATATTTAATGGATTGGATTACTTTTTTTATTTCCCTCCGATATCCGATCCAGTAATTTACGTCAGTATCGGACCAATACCGATACTTAATATCGGATCAGTCCATCTGTAATCAGAACCCAAACATATTTCTAACAAATAATGCATAATTCCTGTCTGTAAATGATATATTATAATGGGGTGAAAACGTTAAGTTTATGATTGTATTTTGTTAAAGGGACCAAATCATTTTGCATAGCATGACAATGTAAACATAATTTCCCAACAAACCTAGGTGGGGAATGCATTTACTAAAACTGAAGCAAAACGAGAACTGCACACCATTGCATCGTCTCCTTCAGACAAACACGTGTTTCAAGTGAAGAACTTCAACGCACTTGGATTAATAAGACAGAATCTGCAGGAGAAAATTTTCTCCATCGAAGGTACAAACATGAATTTAATGCTAGATTTTTGTTTCCTTTATTGGTTTGTTATCCTACTGATTGACTAAAATAACATACATTGTAAATACATTGTATTAACCTTTTTATTTACTATATTACTTTATTGTGTCATGGCAAAATATCTCATCACTATACACTATTGAAACTGAACACTAATTGCCACTTCAAACCTAATGAAAGGATTGAAAGAATTAACTTGTAAATGTTGTATTGTGTCTCTTTTTTACCTTCTAGTTTATTTTTGTGTTTATAATAAATAGCAAAAAAAAAATAATTTGAAACTATTACTTGAAGCATAATGAATTTGTATTTACAAAATTTGCAAAGTGAAATTTGTTTTATGTGTTTTATCATCTTGTTTTTTATGTTACAGGATCTCAAAGCAGTGGAGAGTCACTGAAAATGGAAATGTCTCAAGAGGGATTCAGTGCAGTTTATGTGCCTGAGGTAATTAAAACCACCTGAAACTCACCAGACAGTATAGTCATAGAAAGAGAGATTCCTGTGTGCCAAATTTTGTGACGTAAAGGCAAACAGACAGTTATGCAACTGAACACCATCCAGATTTTAAATGCAAAGTAAATTGTATTTTAAATGTATTTTCTGTCTGCACTGTAGGGAATTCAAATGTCTATTGTTGGTGCAAACCAATGGAAGGGAGGCTACGTGCAATACACAACAGAGGGCCAGAAAGTGAAAACATATGAGGATGTGTCTTTGGAGCCTGACAGTTATCTTGGTAGTTTTTAACAATTGAATTCATATATCTGTCTTTGTGTGTATAGCTCAACTGCAATTAATTGACCAAAACACATGTATCAGTTTGCAAAATGGAAAAAGTCGCAATAAGGAGTCTTTCCCTTTTGTTTACCTAAATTCTAGGTTACTCCATGGCAATTGTTATAACCAAAAATGGCACACTTACTATTATTGGTGCTCCAAGATATAAACACAGAGGAGTGGTGGTCGCTGTTAACAGACAAAGCTTTGAAAACCAAAAGATTGAGCCCTTTTCATCACAGGTATGTACTTACAGCAATACAGATCTGAATTACATTGTAAACTGTACATAAATTATTTCCTAAAACAAAAGCTTTTGATTAAAGAAAACATGAATCATTTCATTAATAATATCTTCCTTACACAGTATCAGACTGGTGAATATTTCGGGGCAGAGGTGTGTACCATGGACATAAATAATGATGACATCACTGATCTAATCTTCATATCAGCCCCAATGTACATGGAGCCTGATAGAGAGGGAAGAGTTTATGTTTGCAGACTAACTGGTTTGGTAAATTGCATTTTAACTACTGCCATGGAATTAATCAGTTTATTTGTATACTTTTTAATGATAATAAAAAACACTCTCACTTTCCTCCATTTAGTTTGTGGAGTGTAATTTTGATGATCCATTAGTACTAAGAGGACATGCAGCTGTCAAAGGAAGGTTCGGCTCTTCTCTTGCTGTGCTGCCTGATCTAAACTCAGATGGATTCAGGGATTTGGCAGTTGGAGCACCTTTGGAGAATAATGGTGAAGGCAGCATCTACATATTCCACAGTGAAGGAGGAGGAAGAATCAGTTCTACTTACTCACAGGTACACAACATCAAAGAACTCACAAGATGACTGAAATCATCTACCATGTAAATCCAATATCTAAACAATCTGCAGCTTAATTAAAATATGTCCATGTATGCAGAGAATAACTGGCTCTGAGGTCCAGTCAGGACTGAAGTTCTTTGGCCTGTCCATCAGTCAGTCGTCTTTTGACCAGAGTGGTGATGGACTTCCTGATTTAGCGGTGGGTTCAAAGGGCACAGTTGTCTTACTGAGGTAAGTCCAAGATACTCCAGTCATGCACTATTGTTGTCTGTCGTAATTCTACAATCTTTGTTGATGGTCCAACTTAATAAATACACTAATTGTATAAAGTTCAGGTCAGTTTGTATGCTCAATATTCTAAGAAGAGTGCATATTAAGTTGGTCAAAAATGATCAGGTTTTTCATGATAAGGGATTATTGAATTTTAATCACATACAGCTATCATATTATATGAAGGTTTGTTTTAAAATCCTCACAGACCATTGGCATTTTTGGAATTGACTTACCACAAGATAAGAAGCACAGATTAAGCACAGCTCCTGTGGGTTTCATTCAAATATCAAAATGAAATATGAAATGCATAACAGTAGCCTTTTCCTAACAAACATGAACAAATGCATACATTACCTAACAGCAGAAGATGTCATTAAAAGGGTGGTTAGTTCAGAAGACCGTAATGTTCAAATCGTTCTTATTTAGTGAGGCTATTACCATGATGAAGTTGCACCACTGGAACATAAGAGTGATAATCTTAAAAAAGCGGTAATGTTCTAAATCTTTGAAATGTTGGTAAAGCAAATATTTGACTGATGCTAATTCACGGTAAAACACCAAAATTGAGGGGCAGCTTTTAGTTTGGTACTATTTAAAGAGCCAAATCTTGTTCTCATTTGTTTTCCTACTCTCCAGATCAAGACCCATAGTACTGATTGAAGCTGACGTGTCATTCAGCCCAAACCGAATTCCTACTCAGAATGTAGACTGCTCAAAACCATTGGAGAACACAGCTGAAATCTGCTTTACTATGAGTACAATATCTACAGTCAACACAGGTTCATCATTCTCCTTGTTTTCTCTGAACTACAAAGCCACTGTCCAGCGATTTAACTTTTTATTTATTTATGTACATTTGCAGCATTGAAATCAAACACTCATTTATTCCAGCTCAAGTGAAGATTAATTATACTTTAATACTGGATGCCACTCGCAAGCATCCAAAAAACCGAGCTTACAGCAGTGGGAAACAACAAGAGGAGTCCGGATCAGTTATTATTGACTTAAGAAGAAAAAAGTGTTCAACTATAAAATTTCTTATTGAGGTAAAGCCTAACAACAAAAGATTTTGTTTAATGAATTTTATTTTTAAGACTCGACCAAATCTGAATTTAAACTTAACACTGCTCCCTTCTTGCAGGCCTGTCCAGAAGATGCTCTTAATGAACTTTCCAATTATCTTGAATTTTTGTTTTATGGGTTGCCCTCCAACACAAATCTCAGACCAAGTCTTTCCCAGCAAGCTCAAACAACAACAATTTATCCAGTAAGTGAACTTTAAAAAACAAACACCAGACACCTCTTTGCTGGTGCTTGCTAAAGGATGTGGTAAATGTCTCCACTTGACTCAAAAAGTGAGAAAGAAAATGAAAGAATGTGTACTTTGTATCAGATCAGAGAGCGGCTTTTGACTTCATAGTCACTATAGGCCACATTACTGGCACCATAGACAGAAAGAATTTGACCCTCTCATGCCTGGGTGTTGCTGCTAGTCTAGTTTCCTCACGAATGGGGCAAGCTAGGAGCTAAGCAAAAAGGTCTGGGTTAGCTCCACACCTAGCAAGAAAGAGCCATGTACTACTGTGGGAAGTTCCATCCTCCTCCTCAAGACATTCTCTATCCTGAATGAGGAGGATTTCCTCAAAATATAAATATGAAAGAAATGACATTTGATTCACCTAAACAATGTTTTATTTTGTCGGTAAATATTATATTTAGTATATGCTCTTTACATCATGTCATCTTTCACAGTTGAGGTTTGAGATTAACTGCAGGACTGACAACAAATGTGTTGATAACCTGAAAGTGGATTTCAATTTCACCAGGTGAGTTGATCTGCTGAGAATCTTCCTACATAAACAGATCACAAGAATGTCTCCTTAATATCCCCTTTTGCACCAATTTATGTCCCCTCAATACAAATTTTAAGTGCTTTGTTAAAGCTTTAACTCCCCCACCCCAATTTCCATAACGTACCGTTAATAAAACGAGAAAAACTGATGACAGCCTCAATGGTTCTTTACGTCAGCAAATTTGAGCATAACTCAATAAATTAGAAAGGTAAAAATATATTCCCACATCGCACCCGTGGCCCTTTGATGCATGTCTTCCTCTTTTCTGTCTACTCTTCATTGTTAAGCTACTGAATAAAGACAAATAGTCTGAAAACAAATCTTAAAATAGCATGTTAGCATTGGGCTCAAAGCTGAATATGCTGGCGCTTCAATAACTTTTGTATTGCAGCAGTCTTATTTTTCCCCCCTTTCTTCTGATCCTCATTCAAACCACCAGATCCTCAGTGGTTAAAGTGGGCATTGATGAGCTTCTGAATGTCACAGTCACAGTGGAGAACAGAGGCGAAAACTCCTACAACAGTCGTGTTATTCTCACGTACCCAGCTGGACTCTCCTACAGGAAGTTCACCATTCAGCAGGTAAAGCATCAGGATCAAGTCTTTATCAGTTCATCACTGACCTGCTGCTCTTCCAATGCCTCCAGCAGTAATTTTCTTTTCTAACAAAGGGAAGAATTGAGTGCAACTCCTTGGACAGTGAAGATGGTTTATCACAAGGAATGACAGACTGCACTATTGACAAGCCAATTTTCAAGAGCAAAACTGAGGTTTGTTTTTTTAAATGTTTTTTTTAATGTAGAACATCTTTTCTCACTTTTAGTGAGAGTTTTAAAGACAAAGCACTCTTATCTCTCTCAATCAATTCAGGCTTCCTTCATTGTCGCCTATGAGATCAAAACCAACAGTCAACTTGAGAGGAAGATTTTTGTCACTGCAGATATCACCAGGTACTGTTCCTTTGGCACAAGTACATTTCATGTAAGCATAGATACAGTACAAATGTTTTCACTTTTCTCTTTTAGTGGAAATCAGGAGCATGCCCCTACAAGTGAACTTTACAAAAAGCAATGGATTGATGTGAAATACAGCATTTTCATGACATTTGAAAGGTGTGTGTGCTGTTCTGTTTAAAAATAAAAGAAGTCAGTTAGAAATTAACAAATGTTGTCTTGCATAGTATTTATTTAATCTTTAACATATGTCTTTTTAGCTCCCTTAGCTACAACAATTTCACATTTGGGATGACATTTCAGAAACCAGTCCAACAGTCAATCAAGGTATGAAATAACTTCTTGAGTAAGTTCCTTGATTTAGAATGAACGTAACGATTGGTGTTCCTTTTCTTTTCTTATTTAGGTTACAAATTATATCAGAACACTTAACTTTACCGTGGTGATCAGGGTTCCAGTGAAACTTGGTGAAAAAGACATTTGGGTGGATTTGAGCAGCCTACAGGTAATATATAAATGTTTTGCCATGATGCAAAATCATGGCAAAACCAAGCATACATAAATCAAATATACTGCAGATTTCAGACTGTCAGAGTGGAAATGATGAAGAACCAGGTGCCACAGATTTTGTTCCAAAGATACAAAAGGATAAAGTGGTGGTAAGTATGCCTCTGCACTTTAGCTGCTGAAAATCAGACTAATTGTAGAGTTAAAAACACATTGCACACTACACTGATCTTTATCTAACAATGTAAAGCATCTTGAAGCAACTGTTGTTGTGATTTGGTACTATATAAATAAAATTGGATTGAACTGAATATATCACAATACACTGGATCACAGCAAGTGTACTGTTTTTAAATCACCCACAGGACTGCTCTGTAGCCATGTGCAGAGTGTTCAAGTGCAACACATTCATGGCAAGGCTGCAGAGTAGGACGTACAAAATCTCTGCCAACCTCAGTTCAAGATGGATAGAGCAGGTAATTAAAGGGTAATTGTGGTAATTAAAAAAAAAAAAAAGTACAACTGTTACTATGTACTTGTAACTTCATTAAATTTTTCAGACATTTACTCTTAACTCATTCTTTTTTTGTTGTTGTTGTTTAAAAGATTGGACTTCAATCTGCCAAATTCCTCTTGACCAGCACAGCCAGTCTGGAGTACGATGAAACCCAGTACATCTACTTTTCAACAGGGTCCAACAGTAATCCTCCTGTATACAAGGTGAGTACACAATACTCCCTCTTGTTTCAGTTATACAAGAGCTGGAAAGTCATCCACATTCTGTCACCTCATTGTTCAGATAGAGGCAGAAGTAGACGTGTGGCCTGAGCCAGATTTTACCAAAGAGATCATTGGAGGATCCCTGGGAGGTTTGGCCTTTCTGGCTTTACTCACTGTTGGCCTGTATAAGGTGAGATGGTCTACTTTTTTTTCCAGTCAATATCACAATTTTAAAATTGTTTAAAAGAGTTAAAGAAACTGTTTCAAAGCTTATTATCTTTAGTCACTAACTTTTTTATTACATTATTATTATATTATATCATTTATTTCTCTTTGTCATTGCAACTCCATTGCATGATTGCTGCCTTTTTAAATGTTTTTTTCCTTGCACTCCTAGGCTGGATTTTTCAAGAGTAAATATAAACAGATGATAAGTGAAAATGCAAAAGACAGCAGCTAATGCAGGTGCATCCCCAGCGGAATTACCTAAAAAGAAACAATCATGGTGTGTGTAAATGTTCATGCCACCACATTTGAAGAATTATACAAAAAAACAGCTGTGTCTGAAATCATTCCCTCACTCACTCATTCACTATTATCTATAACATAGGTTCCTACCTGGTGGTCATGACCCTAAAAATTGGGTCACAACATAAACCTCAAATATCAAAGAACGTTTATTTTTTTACAAAGTACCTTCAGAAGTGCTTCATAGTCTTTTACAGGATCATACACATTCATCAGAATATGAGAAAAAAACTCAAAATTAAGATGTCTGAACAGAAGAACATAATTGTCAATTTACTGCTTAGATATCACACATTCACCCCAAGGTAAAGCATCATAAATATATATAATTCAGACTCCTGGAAAAGACTAAATGCAGTGAACTACTGGATCGGAATAGAGGGATTTTGATCCAATCCTGTGGTAGATCTTTTCAAAGTGGCTGTATATTTTTTAGGAATCTTATTGCTCATCTCAAGGGTGTAGATTTGGTTTTGGTATTGGTGGGGACGGATGATTCAACCACCGAACCCTGCCCTGTTTCTTTTTTTTTCTTTTGTCTTTGCTTCTTGATAAAAAAGGAAAAATATACTTGCCTACATATGCTATTCTACATGCTTTTAAACCATTTAAAATTACAATTCAGAGTTTTATATGTGAATTATATAATGTTAAGTTACAATTAAATAAATAAATGACTAAGTATTTTAGACTTTAGTTTGCTTCAGCCATATTCCATATAAATCAGGTATCATACAAAAATAAAAATACAGTCATGACAATAAAAGAATATGACTTTAAGGACTTAACAACATTACTTCAGTTATAGTACACCAACATCACTGATACATTAGCACTATGGGAACACTGAATGACTTGGTGGGTTTTGTCCATAAAACTACTCATCTAAGATTACCACAAAGTAAACGATCTCTCAGCAAAATAATGCAACATTTTAGGCACACTATTGCCCCTATCAACTCAGTGAGCTGGGATTTTTTATTCTAAACATGAACTACTGTTACAGCAACAGACATGGACGACTGGTGTCCCACACAACAACTCAATGTCCACTATGTGAAGGAGCCAAATACATGTCTTCTCCTCTCGTTAACTGAGATAAACTGCTGGCATATTTGTTTTATATATATACTGTCCAGTCTCTCCTGGTGGACATGGCATACAGCAGCATTGTTTAATCTCATTTGAGTCATTGTTGAACTTAGCCATGTTTTTAGTCTTCTGAGAGCACTGAAGCTTCTTTCAGCCTCAGCTGAGGATAATAAATACTAGTTAATCTATAGCACCAAAACATCAGTCAGTCACCTGTGACCTCGTCTCTTCACCTCTGTCCGAGCTACAACATGGCAGAGCTGCCTCTGTCACTTGATAAGTAACAGTGAGACATTCCAAATACATGCAGTCACACGTGTTTTAAATAAAGTAATGAACCAACAAGTCATCATCCAATTTCACCTGTGATCTTGTATCCCCATTACTTTGAGCTTTATGTTGGTTCTTCTGTCACCTGACAAATAGGACATACATGACAATACGAATAAAATGGGTAGCTGCTTCAGTGTTTCTATCAATTTGTGCAGATCTTGACTCATCAGTAATGTTTGTAGGGTGAGTGCATTTTTAAAACAATTTGTGCAAAATGCACTACAAGGTGGAATATTTGCAAAATCATGACTACCTTGTGATATTTCGTCTCAAAAATTAACCCTATGAAAATATCAGTACCATTAGGATAAAATATCCTGGCTTGCTCGAGGCTGCCGTTTTCTCTGACAGTTTCAATCAAAATTTGAAATGCTACTCTGCTAGACTGAGATAACTAATAGTGCTGCATGTTGTGCAGTTAGTTTCCAAAACACGTTATTATTGGTTACATACAATTTTAGACTAATGTGGGCCAAAGCCTAGCATAGCCTGTAACGTTATTATGATGGACACATATTATGAGTTAACTTGGCTTCAAGTGACTTACAGGTTTCTTTGAAAAATTTATCTTTGCTGCCATCCTCCTCTCCTCCTTGCAGGTCCTGGCAGCGCAGGCTTGCCACTGCCAAAACTAAACAGAGCTCCCTGAAAGGCACAGCCAATCAAATTGGCCATATTTGTCACATGATGTAGGACTCCAGTAGAGAAGTAATTTAACTCTTTCTGCACTGCTAGGTGAATGAGATGTTGACAGATCGATTTTTTTCTTTCTGTCGGTTTTGTTTTTCTTTACTCGAAGAGATCAAATTATTGGTGGGTACAATTCAGTAACTGCTGGATATTGGTGGGGACATGTCTCTTCCATCCATGCCAAATCTACACCTTGGCTCATCTATGTTGTAACTTGTGTGAGTTTAAATTTCTGCAAACATTTCACAATGATTGTTTAGAATTTTTTTGCTAGGTGAAAAGAACTTTCATGGCATCATGTATTGTAAAAATGTATGAAATTCGGTGGATATATTTCAATACTTAGCTTGCTTATAAAACCCTGAGAAATGTGACTTGCTTTATTCAGAAAGAAAATTAAAAGATTTTTCAGCTTTGTGTTGTATTATATGAAAAAGGTATTTCATATTTCAGTGTTAATCATTTGCTGTATGTAAACATAATAATTAATTACTGATCTCATATGACTCATTAACACATTTTTAATTTGAAAAATGAAAGTATAGCGTAATAAACATATTCTTGGCTAATGAGTTTGGATCATCATTATGCAAATTAATGCACTCTTGATGAGTCCTTCTGAAGCAGGGATGTCAAACTCATTTTACATTGTGGGCCAGTAAAACTTCTTTACACTCCAGTTACATATTTAACTGTTTTTCTACACGATAAAGAGAAAACTGTTGTGACAAAGAAAGAATTCTGTCAGCATGACTCTTTGGACTTAAATTGTGAAAAAGAGAAACAGAAATTAGAAAGTGAAAAACAGAAAAGTTTCTGTTTTTCACAAAGTTACAGATTGGTTTTTTAGAGACATAGCTAAGAGTTTTGGAATTTGGCATAATTTGTGAAAGCTTAAATTACTTCGGTACTGAATGTCAGAAATTAGGCCTTATTGTCAGAGGTTATTTTGGGGAAAAAACAACAACAACAAAAAAAAAAACCAATACACTTTCTGTCTTCGGAACAACTGCCCCCCTTCCTTCTTTCATGATAAAACGATTGGCCGCAAGTCCCACCTCTGCCCGCATGGATTCTTAGGAGGGCTGAAAATCCGGCTCCAACATATAGACTGGCCATTAATAACTGACATATGAAATTGTCTTGCAGTCCAGATATAATTCCCTCGAAGCACAGGCAGACGCAAGTGGTTTTCTGTCACTGATTTATTTGAAGACTTCTCTCCAAAGCCACCATAAAAACTATACAGCATTAACAAAATAAAACTCAACGTAAGACACAGCACCAAAAATAACACCGTACAACAAACACGATAAATCAATAAATATCTCGTTGGCTGCATGCTGCAAAAAGCGAATAAGCCGCCGTTCTTCTGAGGTTTCCTTTAACCGTCTGTAGTTAAAGTCCACTTAACATGACTTTCAATAAAGACCATTTTTGCTGCATGCTTACAGGTGTTTTCTCCTTCTTTCTACCCAAAGAGGAAACTAGCGCAACTGGTAAGCGAGCTTGACTTTCAAAATAAGAGCACCAAAACGTTAACTGCATAAATGGTGTGTGGGGAAAGAGGACCCAAGATGCAGGACTCTGCGATGCAAACAGTGCGTTTATTTACAGTGGAGTAAACAGTACACAATAAATTCCCCGTGCACCTCCAAATCCCGTGCCGTGACTCCTTCTCAGTGCCCGTGCTCAGTGTCTCCGCTCCCGTGAAACTTGTGCTCGCTGCTCTCCCGTTCCCGCACTCCTGCTGGAAAACTACAAAGACAGCCGTTAACCCACAACTCAACAGCGATAGACTTAGCATGCACTGACTTTGCTGGAAACACTGACGGGTAGTGACTCAACTATCCAGCGTCGAGGAGCTCTCAGCCACACTGCTTTGTAGCTCCGCTGACGAGGCTTGATCGCGCCAGGTGTGTGTGGAGATCCTTGAGTGTGCCTGTCACCCCCGCGCCCACAAACACACACACACACCTGCCAAAACACCTGCCAGACCCAATCCCTAAATAAACAAAAACAAAACCCTCTCTAGGGCCACAGTCCAAAAAGTCTGACCGAGCACCCAGCAGCGGTGTGAAAACTGTCCCCACAAAACAGTTCAGGTGGCCTATCACGGGTGCAATGGCAGCAGCGCTGCAGCTCCGGGGAGCAGCTATGGATCCGCGGAAACAGTGTGGCGGCTCCGGCGGCCTGCCACGGGTCTAGTGGCAACGTCGTTGCAGCTCCGGCGGCCTGCCACAGGTCTAGTGGCAACGTCGTTGCGGGTCCAGCAGCCCGCCACGGGCCCAATGGCGGTGATGATGTCGGGGTTCAGGCGGCCCGCCACGGGTCCAGTGGCGGCGATGCTGCACCCCTGGCGAGTGGCCACGCGTCCAGTGGTGGCGGCGCTGCAGCTCAGGTGAGCCACAGTGTAGAATGGCCCATGATCCCTGAAGTGCTGGCCGAGCTAAACGTGGACGACATGGATGTGGAGGGCGCGCTGGACATGGGGGTCCCTCCAGCACACTGACCTCCTGCCAAAACACAAACATGGAGCACAGGAAAAGCAGCAGAGCAGAACACCCCCATAAAATACAATAATAATAATAATAATAATCATAGTCCACACTGCTGACAGACCCCGAGTCCCTGGAACCGGGTCCGTGAAAATAAAATAACAAAACATAAAGTAATGTACAGCTTAAACAATTTACAGTAATGGCATGGACCTTGACAAGATAAAGAAATAATCCAAATTATATAAACAATGTCATCATGCCAACAGCTACACTCCCACCAATTTGCACTAATCTTTACGTGGGATTTTCCTAATGAAATAGTGTCTTTAAACAAGCATTTCTACTTATCACCAAAGAATGTCCTGTTATCAACTCTTTGTCAGGTAACTTCTAGCAAACAACCCTTTAGTCTGCTTCTAAGAGAGTAACCACCCTTTGAACAGGTCTCTCAAGAAAAACTGTTTTAGCTGTGGGGGTCCCACCTTTGTCATGTGTATTATCACCAATGAGCAACTTTATTTTTCTCACTCGATTATCTGATCCTGGATAAACTCCTGACTCTAAGATAAACATCTTCTTTGACAAACTCGGGGGCAGAACGATCTTGGACTACATTGTTAAGATGTGGTTTGGAGTCAGTGGTTCAGGGCCTGATGGATCATTCAAATGTTCAGTTGTGAGTGGTCTGCTACTGAAGATAGCTATGACCTCATACAGAAAGGTTCTTAAGAAGGTGCAGTCAAGCCTTTGTGATGACTGATCGTAAATAGCAGTAAGAACACTTCTTATAGTCCTTATTTGACGCTCCCAGA